TGCTTTCCAAAATCTCATGTTTGGAACATTTTGGAATGGGTGGACAGGTTATTGGAAGGGGGCTTGGCATGACCCAGCTGTCATGGTACACATTGGTACTAATGACAAAATTAGAGGTGGATGGAGTGTCCTAAAAAATGATTTCAAAGACTTGGGTGCCAGGATAAAGAAAAGGATCTTCAATGTACTATTTTCTGAAATACTGCCGGTGCCACAAGCCACACCAGAGAGGCAGCGGGAGTTAAGAGAACGGAAGAAGTAGCTACAGAACTGGTGTAGGAAAGAGGGGGTTAGGTTCATGGAGAACTGAGCTGGCTTCTCAGTTGGTTACCAGCTCTACAGAAGGGATGGACTGCAACTAAACAGGGAAGGTGCAGCACTTTTGGAGGAGAAAGACTGGAGGAGCTTTTAAACTAGAATATTGGGGGTAACCAAAACTAAAAATGGATATAAAAAGTGGAGAGCAAAGAGCTACAAGTGCTAATTAGGATAGAGGGCTGCAATAAAAGGGAGGAAAGAGGACTCACTCCGGTCTATTGAGTTAGTAATGAACCAACCATACCAAGATCAGATAGAGGAATTAGTTGCCCTTCAGGAATGAGCAATCATAAAATTCAAAACGCTAGCACCAAACCAAAATGTATTTATACAAATGCCAGAAGTCTAGCAAACAAATTGGAGGAGCTTTAACTTATGCTACTCAAAGAGGACTTGGATATATTGGAAATAACAGAAACGTGACAGACATAGCGATTATGGATACATTGGGTAACAGTGATCACAGGATGATTAGTTTTTAATGTTGGGGACAGAAAAAAGATGTATGTTGATTTGACAAGAATGCTAAATTTCAAAAAGGCAAACTTTGATAAGCTGGGTCATCTAGTGTACAACACTAAATGGGACAACTTATTTTTAACAATAAACACTTATGAGCAGTGGAATTGTTTTAAGAATACATTGCATAATGTAATTAGCGAGTGCATACCATTGGGCAAATAAAGTCAAAGAACAAGAGCTAAATAAAACGGTAAAACAACATGAAAAGAGCAGGTAGCCTAAATAAAAGAGGAGCACGAGAGATTGATCACAAACGACAGAAGAAAGACTGAGGTATTAAATACATTTTTCTTCTCAGTATACACTTGAGAAAAAGGTGGGTTTAATGGATATAATAAGAATGTGAGTAGCTTAATGCGTAATATACCGCAGTGGTAACAAAGGCTAGGGAAACTTAATGTGAGTAAATCGTTAGGAACAGATAACCTGCACCCTAGGATACTTCGAGCTCAGCCAGGTTATAGCGGAACCATTATTCCTCATTTTCAAGGTCTCCATACTGACTGGAAGGGTATCAAGTGGTTGGTGTAAAGCAACGGTAGTACCAATATTCAAAAGAGGCTGAAGATGCCAACCAGGGAATTACAGACCAGTCAGTTTAACATCAATAGTATGCAAAATGTTTGAGGGATTGATAAAGGACTATTTAAAATAATTTTGTTTGTGGCAATGGTATAATAAGTGACAATTCGCATAAATTTTTGAAGGACCATTCTTGTCAGACGAACCTACTAACATTCTACGAAGAAGTGAGTAGAGATCTGGATGGAGGAATGCCAGTGGATGTGTTGTACCTGGATTTTGCAAAAGCATTTGAGACGGTACCACATAAACGCTTAATACACAAGCTTAAATCTATGGGCATAGATTAAATGCTGTGTTGATGTTTAGAGAACTGGCTACAGGCACGTGTCCAGAGAGTGTTAGTAAATGGTCGAGAGTGGCATGCCCCAGGGTTCTGTGCTAGGCCCAATACTGTTTAACCTGTATATAAATTATATTAGGGGAAGGGGTTAATGGCCATGTTTCTGTGTTTGCAGATGATACTAAAATTGGGAGTGTAATGGACATGAGTTTAGACATAACATTACAGAAGGACCTGGATAAAATAGGGGAGTGGAAAACTGTGGCAGATAGTTATAATGTGAAGTAATGCATTTTGGGGTTGAAAACAGACATGCAGAGCACACATTTATGGGAACCTACTAGGGAAGTCAGAAATGGAAAAATATTTGGGGATCATAGTTGACTGCAGATTAAATAATAGCATGCAATGCCAGGCTGCAACAAACAAAGCTAGCAGAGTACTGTTGTACATTAAAAAGGGAATGTACTCTAGAGACAAAGCAATACTTTAAACAAAGCCACTTTACAGAACACTGGTTTAGCCTCCTTGAGTATGCATTTCAATATTGGTCAACAATCCATAGAAAGGATGTCCTTGAGCTGGAGAGAGTGAAGAGAAGGGCAATGGAATTAAGGGGCTGGAGGACCAAAGCTATGAGACATGTTTGCTAAATTTAAACTTGTTCACTCTATAGGTGAGGCGCTTAAGACGGGACATGATTTTGACGTACAAAATGTTTCATGGTGATTGCAATATCAGCAATAAACTGTTTATTATAAACTCACTAAAGAAGACTAGAGGCCACCACCTACAGTTGGAAGAAAAAAAAAATTTGAGCACAAGGGGCTTAGGAGCTTCTTTTCAGTTAGTGGTAAAATTGTGGACCTTTCTTCCACCAGGAGTGGTATCAGCAAAGAGTATTGAATAATTCAAATATAATTTAGACTATGGACTTGTGTCTTTTTTCAACCTCAAATACTATGTAACTCTCCCTGCTGAGCCCTGCAGTTCCTCCCACTGCCTCCTACAAAAACAACCAACAAAAATGCTGTCACCAAATTTCTCCTGACCTTGGATACAGCAGTACAAGGTAACCTGGCCAGGCAGAAATCTGTTTGCCCATCAGGTTTGTGTGCTCTAAAGCCCCATTCACACATATATTTTAGGTGCAATTAGGGATTCCTGCATCAGCCATTTACACATTCAATTTAATGATCGAGTGAAAGCTGCTGCATTTGAACGCTGGCACACCGCATGTGATCGTATGTGATACAATTACATGTGCTTGGGAATCGCACTCTCCCTGAATGTATCAATCAAGCCTAGGTGTCTTAAGTGTTTTCCATGATGTAAGAGTGACCCCAGTAGCGGTGTCCATTATGTGGTTCAAGAGATACTTCCCTCTATGTGTTGTGCAATGGGAAGATAAATATTATACATTTATCTGGAGATGATGTAAAATGCTCTAAGTATAACTGAGTAATTTAAGCAAAGTGCTGGTATAAATCTGGTATGGTTGACCACAACAGTGTCAGATGAAATGGGTATCCTTAAAAACCTCAAAGGGACCTGGAGTGCTGTCCTGAGAAATGTCTAGCTACAGCTTTAGAGCTGTCCTGGTAGGTAATGGTTACATATAGTTACATAGTATTTGGGGTTGAATAAAGACATACGTCCATCAAGTCCAACCCATATAGGTCCACGCATCATCTCATTCTTAGGGATACTGGTATCCCTGGATATTATGGTCCCTCAAGAAATTGTCCAAACGTTTCTTGAACAAATCTACACTCTTGGCTGAAATCACTGCCGATGGCAGTGAGTTCCAGACCTTAACCGCTCTTACTGTAAAGAACCCTCTTCGCCCATTGTGCTGGAATTTTTTCTCCATCAACTTTAGGTGGTGGCCTCTAGTCTTTATAATGGAGTTAATCTCAAACAGTTTGTTGCCAATGTTGCTGTCACCATTGAACATCTTGTACATGTAAATCATTTCCCCCCTTAATCGCCTTAATTCCAGCGTAAACATGTTTAAGGTCAGAAGCCTTGTCTCATAGCTCTGGTCCTCCATTCCCCTAATTAGTTTTGTTGCCCTCCGCTGGACTCTCTCCAGTTCAAGGACATCCCTTCTCAGTACCGGCGACCAAAACTGGACCGCGTACTCCAGATGTGGCCGAACCAACGATCTATATAGAGGCACAATTATAGACTTGTCCCTGCAATACATCCCCTTCTTAATACAGGACAAGACCCTGCTAGCTTTGTTTACCGCAGCTTGGCACTGCAAGCTACCATTCAGTTTGTGGTCTACAATGACCCCCAAATCTTTTTCTATTTCTGACTTCCCTAGCGGCATACCCATGATTGTATAGCCTATTTGTTTATTTTTATGTCCAAAGTACATTACTTTGCATTTATCGACATTAAACCTCATCTGCCATAGTATTGCCCACTCCCCTATTTTATCCAGGTCCTCCTGCAATGTTATATTGTCACGATCCGTTTCTAGTACCTTCCCTATTTTTGTATCGTCTGCAAACACGGAAACATGGCTATTTATTCCTTCCCCGATGTCATTAATGAATAGGTTGAACAGTATCGGACCCAGCACAGATCCTTGAGGCACACCGCTCATTACACTAGCCTAGTTCGAAAAGGTGCCATTTACAGCACCTTTTCCCTTAAAGGTAGAAGAGAATCTGCATGTGTTAAATGAAGAGCCACAAGGTTACAATATAAAAAATGTGTTAGTCAACCTCCGCAAAGTCGCGGTTCAGAGTTTGCGCCTCAGTCGTTTGCGGCTTTAAATATCAATCGCGTGTAGCCATCTCAAGTGTTTCTTATTGTTGTTCTTAAAGCCCTAGGATGCCGCCCAAACGCCCTGCACCTTCTAAGGCTTCTGGCAATGAACCTAAGTGCCAGAAGAAGTTTAAGACACTCCAGGAGAAGGTTGAACTACTGGATTTGCTTCGGGTACTAAAAAGTTATGCCGCAGTAGCGCGCCATTATGGCATCAGTGAAAGCACTGTACACTACATAAAGAAGGACGAGGAAGCGATCAGGAGTACCGTATCAGTCAGTTTCTGTGATCGTGCCAAAAAGGTAACGACCGTAAGAAATAAGAATATTGTCAGGATGGAATCTGCCTTGGCATTGTGGATCACGACTTCAGGAAGAACAACATCCCCTTGGATGGTAACATAATTTGTGAGAAAGCACGGAAATTGTACGAGCACTTCGCTACAGGAGACGATGCAGAAGGTACCGAAGAACCGCAATGAACAAACAGCACCGAAGCCTGAAGATTTTCAAGGCAGTAAGGGAAGGTTCGATCGTTTTCAGAAACGATTCAATATTAAAAGTATTTATCTACATGGAGATACAGCATCTGCTGTCAAAGAAGCCGCGGAGAAGTACCCGAGACCTTCAGGCACATCATAGAGGAGAAGGGCTACAAGCCTGAACAAGTTTTCAACATGGATGAGACTGGCTTGTTCTGCTAGAAGATGCCGTCCAGAACTTGCATAATGAAGGACGAAGCCAAAGCTCCAGGGTTTAAGGCACAGAAGGACAGAGTGACGCTCATTATGTGTGGCAATGCTGCTGGTTACATGATGAAACCAGGCCTCATCTACAAAGCAGGGAACCCTTGGGACCTCAAAAACAAAACTAAAAACCTGCTGCCTGTCTATTGGATGCACAACCCTAAAGCCTGGATTACCAAAATCCTAACTTCGAACTGGTTTCACCAGTGCTTCATCCCTCAAGCCAAGAAATACCTCCACAACTTAGGCATGAACACAACTTTCCATCACAATGTTCCTCAAACCTATCAAGAAATGCCAGCACGAAACCCCACCAGAAGAAGACCCGTCAGAATATATGACTCCTCCTGAACTGTCTGAAGAAGAGGCGTCACCTGAGGAGCTGTAAATCCCCTGCTTTGCTGTGCAGTCATTATTTTCATTACATACCTCCATTGTACTGCACAGCTGATTCATCTTCTTCAATTAATATCATTCATTATTGGTGAGTAGCCGCACATTTTACTGTATTAAGCTGAATTTGAAATATTAAAGTGTTGTAGGGGCATATTTAGGGTTTAAACTATAAAAATAGGCATTTTTTTTACCACATTCAACATTTGCGGTTTTTAAAAATTTGCGGGTGCGCAAGGAACGTAACCCCTGCAAATTTCGTGGGTCGACTGTAATGCAAACTGCTATTGCTAAAGCAGTGGTGCAGAAAACTGGACCAGATGAGGTTGTGGAGTAGCTTGATGAGGATAATGCCCCAGGCTGTGATGTCCATTATAAGTGACACAACCTCCTAGGTCTTGGGAGATGCCTTTCAAAAAACACATCTTCTAAATCTCAATGCGCTTAATAACCGAAAACGTTCCCAAAAAGATCTTGACCCTTAGATTTGGGTTCCATTTTATGACAGACATGGTGAAAGAAAGTGTCAATTGTTAAATGTTCATCCACTATGTACTTCTGTGTCTCCTCTGGCAAATGGGCTGGTACTGTGGAGTAACAATGCTTGAAATATTGTGTTAAAAGTTGTACTCCACAAAGGTGGACAAGAAGGATGTTTGCTATTTATGTCTGAGGAGCTGTTAAAATAGTCTATACTAGTTTCTGGCAGAGTAATTGAAAATGTAACCTTTCTATAACGGAATTAAAGTAATTGTCGTTGTGGAGAAAACATTCTAGTGTGAGCTTTGTAAGTTTGTTCCAGACACTCAAAGTTCTGTCAACTCTGTCAATGTGGACTTGTGCTACTTCAAGACTCCTTAAAGGCCAGATTGCTGGAAGTGCTTAAAAGACGATGTCTGGGGTATGTGGAGTCTCCCCAGAGATACCAGGCCTTGTAAATGCCCTGATTGTAATATGGTTGGTTGGACCCTATGGCCCGGTTCACATCTGAGCGATTGTAGACATGCACAAACGCAAACTGCGCTTGCTGTGCCATACATTTCTAATGGCACCCCAATTGCGGCTAGCAATCCAAGTTTTGGGCCGCATTTCGGCAGGTGCAATCACCCAGAAACGTAGCCGCCATAAACGACCCGTTCATCGCACAAAAGGGTGCATAAACCTTTTTGCTGCGGTTGCCGCGCTAAAATGACCCCATTGAAATCAACGGGGACACATGGTCCCATGCCGCCCACATGTGAACCAGGCCTAAATAAAATAGTCAGACATCACTCTTGAAAATGCTTTCCTAAGATATCTTTGAAGTGTCTCCTAGTAATTTTATGCCGGATTGTCATCTGGCAATTGTAGAATGTACCTCTGGTTCCATACTGGGGAATTCCCCTTAAATGCCATTTGGACAGCTGTGCTAGCAGAGGTATCTCTGAACTGAAATATAATTGAGAACAATGTCCTCTTTTTGGGGGGGGTAAGGTATTCTGACCCCAGTGGTTTTTTTTTTTATTATCACCCATTAATGCAGTGGTTCTCAACCTGTGTAACCTCAGGACCCACATTTGTCCTTGGTCACTAAGTCGCGACCCAAGTCGCACTGCAATGGAATGCATGATATTAGGGTACTGAGCATTCCAGTGTGGGCATACGAACTGTGGGTGGGAGGTGCGTTGAGGTACCACTCAAATGAATGGCAACCCAGCACACCTCCCACACCAGAATGCACAGTAGGTGCGATTGCATGGTACAGTGCGTTAATCGCACAGTACTATGCGATTAACGCACTGTACTAGTGTGAATGGGACCCCAAAAACACTGACATATATACCACAGACACAATTTGCTGAACTGTGACAGAGCTCCATCCATATGTGCATTACTTGTACAGCTTCCTTGCGCACCCTGTAGAGGTGACGGGAGCCAGAATGTGATGTCACTCAGGACCAGGCACCTCTATGGGACACGTGAGGGAGCTGTAAGCAATGCACGTATGTATGGAGCTGCCTCGCGGCCATAGCCCCATCCCACGTCAAGCTGACACTTGGTGCTGGGCAGCATATTTTGAATGGCTGCTCGGTGTGAAAGCGGACAGTGCTGTGTTAGGGGGAGGCAGAGGAGCCTCTCACCTAGAAAAGTGGAAGGCATGTGGCGACCCACTGAACACGGGGTCGCGACCCACTTTTGGGTCATGACACACCAGTTGAGAACCAAGGCATTAACGCTTTCTTTAGTGCTTTGTAGTTGTGTTTTATTGCTCCATCACTCAGATAAAACAATACAATTCCTGCATGGCTGCTTTCCTTATAAAGTGGAATTGCTTCTCTTAGCCCCCCTCCCTCCTTTTTGTAGGGCATTATATTTACCTTTCCAGCAGCCCATGTGTTTAATTGCCACCTCTTCAAAACTTGGGCAGTCAAAAAGGTAAATATATAACTTGGTATTGTGTACAAGTGTAACTTTATTGACTTGTGAGCTTTGCAGTTCAGGAGTCAAATGAATGGGCTTCTTTAATGCGTGACATAATGAATGTCACATGTAGGGCTGCAACTAACGACTATCTTCATAATCTATTAGTTGGATGATTTTTTTTTTTCTTTCAATTAATCGGATAAAACTAAATATCAAATACAGACATGTACTTGTACTGCTATGGAAAGCCAGGCAATAGGTACCTGCCCTGAAACTAGCACCACTACAGGTAGCCAGACAATGGGTACCTGACTTGGAACCAGCAGAACTACGGAGAGCCAGGCAATGGGCACCTGACCTGAAAATAGCACCTCTACGGGGAGAGCTAGGCGATGGGCATCTGACCTGAAACTAGCAGCACTGTAGGAAGCCAGGCAGTGGACACCTGACCTGATACTACCACCACTACAGGGAGAGCCTGGCAATGGGCACCTGACCTAAACTAGCAGCACTATAGAGAGCCAGGCAATGGGCACCTGATCTAAAACTAGCAGCACTATAAGGAACCCGGCAATGAGCACCTGACCTGATACTACCACCACTACAGGGAGCCAGGCAATGGGTAGCTGACCTGAAACTAGTACCACTACAGGGAGCCAGGCAATTGGCAGCTGTTCCTAAACTAGCACCACTACAGGGAGGCAGGAAATGGGCACCTGACCTGATACTAGACCACCACAGGAGCCAGGCAATGGGCATCTGACATGATACTAGACCACTACAGGGAGCCAGACAATGGTAGCCTTCAGTGCTGTGACAAGTGACATTTATCCATGCATGCTTATGTACCTAAACAACGTAGAAGAATTCAAGGTGAAAGATGTCTGGTGCCAACATTGAGAGCCAGCTGTATCTACCACACCAACGTTCTCTATAATGTTTTATTTATTTTAAAAGCTAAACTGCTGAGTGAAGACCATTTTGTAGTGTTGAGTAATGTGAGTGTACAACAATCCAAGGTGGCCAATAGCAAACTTAAAAGCAGAGACATAGACAATAACAGGAGTGAACCGCTGCACAAAATGCCTTTAGGCGTCCTGCTGGGACTGAAGCAGAGGGGAAAGGGCTATATACTAAAACGGTTCTCACACCGCTGGGCACCAGCTACAGCTCCGATCCCCGCTGCGAGCCGATGTAACACCAGCTCCCAGTGGGGAGGAAGGAAACCCGGATCCCCTAATATCAATAGAGAATCGTTGACAGCGATTTCTCATTATCAATTTAATCGATTCGTTGATTCAGCCTTCGTTAAATGCACTGGAACAAATTGCCCTTGTGGTAAATGGGCTGAATACTGAATTTGTCTTTCTCGCTCAAACTCTATTTTCTTACAAAAGTCCTGCCAGATGTATTTGTACAAGCCTTTAGAATTGGAGACTTAAAAGCAATTTGGGAAGTAGCCTTTGTAATATTTTACTATATGAGCCAGAATCGAGTACCTCAGTAGTAAATTTGTAATTGGTTTCAACAGTGTAGCCAATAATGGAGCTTTTTGTGGTTGTGTTCCCGATCTCTTTTCATTCTTTCAACTCTTTATTTAAAGAGGTTTAAATAAAAGCAATGCCATACACAAATGACTGACATCAAAATATTTAGCAATATTTCCACAGTATAACAACTGAAGGTTTACAGAGCTGGGATAGTGAGAGGGGATAGTATGAGAGGCTGATGGATTTTTGAACAAATTATTTAATACAGAGTGAGCAGTGACATTTTCACTGCTGTTATCTGTCTCATCCAAAATATGACTCCAAGGTACCAATAACTCTTTAACATGTCTGAACGAAAGGTGAATAGTTTACAGAATTTTGATTTTTGCATGTGATTTTTATATTGGTAAAAAAATTTGAGAATGCCCAGCTAAGCCATAAAAGTTGCCTTCCATTGTAACTCGATTTTTATTTTTTTTGTGTGGTGTTAGTAATATATGTATAATGTTGGTCCTCCCTTCCAGTACTTGACTAAGGGGGGGGACCAACATTTAGGGGCAGCAGCTTTGTATTCACCTGGAAACCAGTAAACGGTGAAATACAAGGTGTGACAATTTAATTCCCGGACTGCCTGCAGCGTAGCGCTATTGTGGTGAATCACACAGCCATTCGCATTTGTGCACGTTCTGGCATGTTCTAACTTGCACTCGCCTTGGTTGCAGACCAGCTGACTCGGTCCCTACGGACTAGTAGAAGAAATAACACTTGTTTGGGGTTTTGTTGGCAGAAAATGAGTGGCAGGAATCTGGAGCAGCGGATTAACATCAAATTTTATGTGAGAATTGGCAAAAGTGCAAATGAAACTTTAGCTCTGTTACAACAGGATTATGGTAAATTTTCCATGAAGAATTCAAGTGTTCTTGAATGTCATAGGTGGTTTAAGGAGGGGCAGGAAGATGTCCAAGCAGACCAAAACTCTAGCCTGACAAGTGGATTCTCCCCTACGGCAATGCTCCTGCACATGATGCGTTAAGTGTTCGCGGGTTCCTGGCCCAGAAATCCATTCCAAAACGTGAACAACCACCTTGGCACCCTGTGACTTTTGGCTGTTTCTAAAATAAAAAAATGCCTTAGGCCCCATTCACACCTGACCGTTTTGTAGCGCGTCCTACGCTCGATGAACGCTCTACAAAACGGTCAAAAAAATAAATAGCATTGTAGTCAATGGTATCGTTCCCACCTGTCCGTATTTCTGCCCGTCCCGAACGCACTACAAAACGGCCCACGCATGAAAAGGTCCCGGAGCGTTTCTGCTGCGTATTGGTCCGTTTTGTAGGGCGTTTTCCATTTGTATACTGCCAAGTAGCCTTTGGAATCGCGCGACGGTCGCGTGACTTTTTTACCGCGAATCGCGGTAAAAAAAACGCGTGACGGTCGCGCGACAGACGCGCATATTACAATACGCATAGGTGTGACTGGGGCCTTAAAGGGACAAAGATTTTGATAACATTCTGGGCATCCAGCTCACCGGGACAAAGATACTACGTAGCGTTCTGGAAAACAAATTTCCGGCAATGGCACAGTCGTCTAGAAAAGCGCGTTTCTTCACAAGAAAGACTAATATGAAGGTGACAACAGGCACTTGTGTATAGGTAACCAAACATATTTTTTACATTTGTTTTTTACAGTCCATTTCGGGAATTCAATTGTCACACCTTGTATATTACGTTTAAAAAGGGCCCTTGGTCAGATGTTAATTTATTGTAGGTTTTGATACAAGATGTGTCAGTATTTTTGGACAAGAGAATCTTTTTCTTTATGTTGGGTGGGATGTGGTGCTACAGGCTATGGGAAAGAGATTGAGAGGGTAATATTAAATGGTGTTCAGTTAGTTTTAATAAAATGTTGCCAGCATAGAGTGTTGCAGTTGATTTCATCTGTAGTTTGATGATGTTTGAGTGGTATAGAAAAACATGGCATATCTGTTACTTAAAACTGCTACAGCTGGAATAATAGGGCCTCTCATTTTTCTGTAACAAAGATCAATACTGCTTGTTTTTTCCACAGTGTGTGAGGAAAATGCAAAAGCTGTGATGAAAGATTCTCCAGAAGACCATCTCCAGCCTTTCAAAGACCGAATTACTGAGTTTATCCAAAAAGGTGAGTGTGACATCAAAAACCCTATACAGTCCTAGCCATCGATTTTATACTTGGATTATTTACTCCCAAAAGGATAAGCGTAATTTGCAAATCTTGCTAAAAATGGAGAGCAGGGTCATTGTTTAATATAGCGCCAACAGTTTACGCAGCGCTTTACAATATAAGGAAGACATTACAATCACAAGACAAGATGGAAAGAGGCCCCTGCCCGTGATGGCTTACAATCTAAAAAGGGAGGGGGAAGTGATACATGAGGAGGTAGCTGTGTGGGGATGAATTGTTTGAGAATGTGATGGTTGAGCGGTTAGGTTGAGGTGGGATAGGCTCCCCTGAAGAGATGAGTCTTTAGAGCAGTGGTTCTCAACCTGTGTAACCTAAGGACCCACATTTGTCCTCTGTCATTAAATCGCAACCCAAGTTGCACTGCAATAGAACGCACAGCATTGTGGTACCGCGCGTTCCGGTACGGGCGATTGAACTGTGGGTAGGAGGTGCGTTTGGGGTACCATTCAAATGAATGGCAATGCAAAGCACCTCCCGTACCAGAACGCATAGTAGGTGCGAATATCCGCTCGGTGCGTTAATGACACAGGAATGTTCGATTATCACACTGTACTAGTGTGAAGAGTCCCTCAAAAACACTGACACACACACACTTTCGAACACTTATACACACCCCATAAAAAATGTGTTTTCTTTTTTTTAAGATCCACCCAGTCTCTCTACCTTACAAGAACTGGAGTGGATCCCCAGCCTGGAGTCCAGTGTGGGCTGCTGTGCTGTGACAGAGCTCCGTCCATATGTGCATTGCTTGTACAACTCCCTTGCACACCCTGTAGAGGTGCCAGGAGCAAGAATGGGACGTCACTCCGGTCCAGGCACCTCTACAGGGCACGTGAGGGAGCTGTAAGCAATGCACATATGGATGGAGTTCCCTTGCGGTCATAGCTCCAGCCCACCCCACCTGAGCTGACACTCGGCGCCGGGCAGCAAATTTTGAGTGGCTGCTTGGCACGAGAACTGACAGTGTAGCGCTAGGGGGAGGCTAAGAAGCCTCTCGCCTAGAAAAGTGAAAGGCACGTGGCGACCCACTGAACATGGGGTCGCGACCCACTTTTGGGTCATGACGCACCAGTTGAGAACTAAGGCTTTAGGGAATGCCGAAAGGCAGTCAAGGTGGGCGACAGACAGACAGGTTGGGGTAAAGAGTTCCAGAGGATGGGAGAGACTCTAGTGAAGTACTGGAAGCGAGCATGGGAGGAGTTGACAAGGGAGCTAGAAAGCAGGAGGTCTTGGGGATGAGCAGAGCCGACAGGGTGATACTTTGAGACCAGGTTTGAGATATAGCCGGGGGCGGAGTTGTGGATGGCTTTGTAAGCGATTGGTAATATTTTTAATTTGATCCTTTGGGCGAGTGGAAGCCAGTGCAGGGATTGACAGAGGGGAGTTACAGACACTGAACGGTTGGTTAGGTGAATGAGTCTGGCACTGCATTCATGATAGACTGAAGGGGGGGATAGCCTGTGTATTGGAAGGCCAATGCAATAGTCAAGACGAGAGATAACAAGGGAGTGAATGAGTCATTTACAAAGGTGAAGGCGGAAGGATAGGGATTGGATGAGGGGAAGAAAGGTGAAGTCCGAGTCAAGGATGACACCTAGGACCTTGGCATGGGGGAGGGGTAGATAGTTAACAATCTCAAGGGAAAAGGAAGGTGCACGGGCAGGAGGAAATATCAAGAGCAGGAGGAAATATCAAGAGCTCAGTTTTTGAAAGATTGAGTTTTAAGAAGTGTTGCGACATCCAGGCGGATATGTCAGTTAGCAGATTAGTGACACGCGAGGACACAGATGGGGTGAGTTGTGGAGTAGAAAGATATATTTGAGTGTCATCAGCATAGAGATGGTATTGGAAGCCATGTGAGGTTATTTAACTGACCAAGGGAGGAGGTGTAGATAGAGAAGAGAAGGGGTCCAAGGACAGAGCCTTGGGGGACCCCTACAGAAAGAGGAAGAGGAGGGGAGAAGTTAGATTTGTAGGTGACGCTGAAGGAGCACGTAGGTAGGAAGAGAACCACGAGAGAGCAGAGTCTTGTAGCCCAAGTGACTGGCATTTTTTGAGGAGGAGCAGGTAGTCAACAGTGTCAAAAGCAGCAGAAAGGTCTAATAGCAAGGAGTAGTGGCCATTGTTTTTAGCTGTTAGTAAGTCATTAGTGAGTTTTAGGAGAGCGGTTTCAGCAGAGTGTAAGGGCGAAAGACAGATTGTAAGGGGTCGAGAAGGTTGTTTTCAGCGAGGTGGCGAATTAGGCGGCTGTAGATGAGGCGTTCTAGGAGTTTGGAGGTGAATGGGAGTAAGGATATTGGTCTGAGATTATTGAGGTCGGTGGGGTCCATTGAGGGTTTTTTGGGTATTGGGGTGACCAGGGCATGCTTCAGAGGGGGGGGAAAGATTCCAGTAGAGAGTGAGAGATTGAAAATGTAAACAAGAAAGTCTAGGATAGAGCCAAAGAGTGACCGAAGTAGAGGTGAGGGAACAGGGTCCAGGGGGCAAGTGGTGAGGTGGGTGTCAGAGAGAAGCTTTGTAACCTCCTCTGTGGTGACGGGGCCAAAAGAGGAGAGTAACAAGTGTGATGGGGGGTCTGGTACATGAATAGGGGAAGGTGACTGCACAGTGGTGACCTGATCCCGAATTGTATCTATTTTGTTTTTTAAATGAATGGCAATGTCCTGGGCAGTGAGTGAGTTAGTGGGTGGGTGGTGGCGGTGGAGGACATAGTAGAGAGTTAAAAGTAGAAAAGAGTTGGCGAGGTCTGGATGAAGGTGTTAGAGTGATAAAATAAGTCTGTTTGGCAGCACGGAGGAAGGAATTATATTTTAGGAGGGCCGCTTTGTACAGGGTGAAGTCTTGCAGAGATCTTGTTTTTTGCCACAGTCGTTCAAGAGTGCGTCTATGTCTCTTGAGATTTCTGGTTTCGTTTGTTTGCCACGGTTGTAGTGGTCGTGGTCTAAGCCTGCGAGTAGTGAGGGGAGCCAATGTGTCTAGAGAGGATGAAAGTGAGCTGATGTAGACAGAAATAGCCAGGTCAGGGCAGGACAGGGGTGCAATTTTGTTATAGAGGTAGTCAGTAGCTGAGTAGAGAAGAGAAGGGTCGAGGTGGCGAAGGTTTCTCTTGGTGACAGTGTGCCGTGTAGTTGGATTCAGTGTTGGGGACAGGGTGAGGGTGAAACTGAGAAGGTTGTGGTCTGAGAGAGGGAAATGGGTGTTGGCGAGGTTGCAAGAAGTGCATAGGCGAGAGAAAACAAGATCTAGTATGTTACCATCAGAGTGAGTAGGAGACTGTGTCCATTGTGTTAGTTCAAAAGAAATGGTTAGGTTAAGAAATTGAGCCTGAAGCCAGGGTGTTAATGTTAGTAGCAATGTTAAAGTCACCAAGAATGATAGCTGGTATTTCTGAGGAGAGAAAGTAGGGTAGCCAGGCAGAGACCAATGCATATTTGTTCAGAACATCAGAGAGAAGGGGTAGAACTTTTGTAGGATCTGTATTTTTTGGGAGGAACTGGGGAGGACGAGTTGAATTCTACTTTAATCCCACAGGAGAAGTTATTTGCTCTATTTTTCCTGGTAGGTTCTGCTTACACTAGTAAATGCCACTCTGCATTCAAGCTACTACAGCCTCATAAGTCATCTTGTTTCTGCTCTTAGACTGTTTTATTAAAATCATATTGTTACAACATGTTCTGGCGGCAATGCAACTTATGTATAAATAGCATTTGAAGTGAGTTCTGTGAATAAGATTTCCTTGGGCAGATTGCATGCAGGTGGAAAAGACTATTATCTATACAGTTGTGAAACATGCAGATCATCCTCAGACACCTTGTATGATTGTGCTGCAAGAGAAAGTGGTCTATTAATGTCCTACTGTTGAAATCTATAAAAAGTAGAAAGGAATCTGCTATATTTTTAAATAAGGCTGGTACAGACTTTCTGCTCAGAAAAACATAGAGCCAGCATACTTGGCTTTTAATTAGATGGCTAGGTGTGACTAAAGGCATACTCCCATTCAATCAAAGGGAGCTAGGAAGTAAGAATTGACCACTACTTTTTGATTGTAACTGGATGTCAGGATAATCCTTTCCCATGTGCTTCTACTGTGTAGAACTCCAGGCTTCTTTATACAAGAATTTGGAGTGTAACAAGATAAAGACATTTTAATATAAATTTAATTTACAATGTATATCTGTTGGACCCAGGCTTTTTGCACATCTACTAATTTTATGTTTAACAAAATAGTTCAGTACATAATGTGACTGTGTGTATTGGCAGTCCTATATATATATCATTGTGTAAATAATATTTGTGTGTGTATAATGTATAGGCCAGGTGCATTGCCAAGACATTGCCTAATCAGGGCACAGAGAACTGTGAGAGCCATGATTGGGCAAAGTCATGACTCTCCCCAATCATGGCTCACCTGTTACAACGGTAAACAGTTGGGCGGAGCTAGCTGTCACTGTTAACTCCGCCCAATTGTTTAAGTTGCCCGCCTCTGTAAAAATTACATTCTTTGGCTGGTGTTTGTGGCTGTGGCAGCGGCAAGACGACGGTTGTCTTTTTTAAAATTATTATTTCTATTTATTGTTTTATTTTTTTATGTCACGGACAACGCTGGGCGTCGTGATTGACCCTGGATTACGTCGATGGATCAATTTTTTAGTTTTTTTTTTATGATAAAAGACTTGTCAAAAATCCTTTGTTGTGTTTTTTTGTTTTTTTCCAAATAAAGGATTTTTGATTAAAGTCTGGACTTTTTATTTAATGAATGGGTAGGGTACCCCTTATTTATTCACAAGGGGGGGGCACCCTGATGTGAATAAGCTCTTGCTCGGATCAAGGGTCTGGTATGGAATTTTAGGGGGGACCCCACATTTTTGGGGGGTGGGGTTCCTCAAAATTCCTACCAGACCTTAAGGGTCTGGTATGACTTTTGAGGGGAACCCCACACTTTTTTTTTTTATGCGGTCCCTTCTAACATTCCTACCAGACCTAAAGGGTCTGGTATTTGGGAGGGGAAACTGCATGCTTTAAAAAAAATAGCAATGTCAGTTTTGCTGTAGCAGGTTCTATGTGTTGTACAGATGTGCCACTTTACAGGCAGGTTAAGGGGGACCCCCCAGGCACGATAGTTTAAAGGACATTTTTATTGTTACCCTTTAAGTATTTTCTAAACTGTTTTTTTCTTCTCTTATTTATTCCTGTCCCCTAGGGCAGTACCCGGATCTCCATACACTTGTTTTGGCCAATAAATTGCATACAAGCCCTCTTAAAGGGGACAATTGTCTTTGAAAGTTCTACCCTCATAGACTTGCATTGAGTTCAAGTTCAAATTAAAACTTTTTGGATGTTCTAAAGTTTGAATTCGAACCGAACTCGGACCTATTTGGCCCATCACTAATGATAATTGGCTGTACAAGCAATGGGGAAAGCCAATAAACTATTTACACACAAAAAATGTTGTACTATCATTTCAGCTTACTTGGGTTAGACCAGAAATGTAAGAGTTGATATCTCCGGGTAATGGCCATTGAACGGATTATTTGAGTGTTATTTGTAATACTATTAAAATGCATTTGCACTCCGAAATGAAACTGTGAAGTGCCTATTTTCTTATGTTATTAATAAAGGACTCTATCAAAACTCAACCAACCTCATGTTTGCAGGCTCTGCTCCCAACCACTGCATACAGAAGGGGCAGTACGTACAGATGCACGCTTGCTCCATTGCTGTCCAGTGGTGTAAGTGCAATGGAGGGCAAGGTAAAGGATAGGGCATGATGATGGGTTTAAAAAAAACTATAGACATATGTCCGGTTTAGAGAAGGCAAGTCTTCTAGAAGAGATCACCATTCCATCTTTATCTTGCCACATTGGTAAACCACTCGAAACTGTTTTCTCTTTATACTTATGAGTAAGGGAGAAAAATGACAGCTGGTTTAGGTGCTGAAACAATGTTTTCAAGAATGCTACTTGTTTTTGGTTAAATATTTCCTTTATATGTCAAAGCTTTTATATTTGTACTTTTTTGTTTTTGTTTCAGCCAAAGAAGAACATAAAATAGAAGACAATAAGCTAAGCAAAGCAAAAAGCAGGTACTAAGTCAGTTTCTCTTAAACATTATTTCATCCTATTATCTTTGCTAGAAGAGTCCATACACCTATAGGCTATGTTAGGAAGCCAGCATTGACCTTGAAAGATTAGTAGTAATGGATACTAATTAAATGAGTCTTCCTCATATGCATTTAGGATAATCAGACGTGGTAAGTGAAAGGTTTTTCTGCCTGGAGTTCAGCTTTAATATTGATTACCTGTGCAAATAAAAGGGTTCATTTTTGTTAGTAATGTCTAATCTTTTTCAGGCTAATGCTAATAATTTTGGTAGCTAAAAAATGCAAATTTCTCTCCCGTTCATTGAAGGACACAGGGAACAGATCGGAGATCATGTACTGTAGGTCCTTCAATGAACGGGAGAGAAAATAGGATTTTGGTACTCACCGTAAAATCCTTTTCTCTCCGTTCATTGAAGGACACAGGGCCCGCCCCTCTATGTGGGTGTGTACTCCTTTACTGCTTGTTACTAAACTGGAGACTTGTCAGCAGGTGGGGGGTTTGGCCACCGGCAGGGGCCGCCCCTAGGCTGTAATTGGTCTTTAGTTTTTTTGTGCCTAGCATCCTTCTCCTGCAGGTGGCGATATTACCCTACAGTACATGATCTCCGATCTGTTCCCTGTGTCCATCAATGAACGGAGAGAAAAGGATTTTACGGTGAGTACCAAAATCCTATTTTTCAGTTTCTCTTCCTGTACATTAAGATCTTTGTCATATTGGTTGTGAAATTTGCCATTTTGTTACAATTGGCATTAATCATTGAGTAGAAATATTATGTAAATATTTATAATATACTAAAAGAGCAGTTACAAGTTCTTGATGATCATGACATCCTCTGTGATGCTAATCATGTTAACCAGTATAAAGAGACTGTCGGGTTGTGGAGGTTTTTTATTAACGTGTCCTACGGTGAGTCACAAATAGCTCATATTTTTCGAGGGTTAAGATGATGAGGTGGAGGGGAACATATCCTCTGCCCAGGGGATCTTGTTTGCTGACAACTTCTCTTCCCGCTCACAGCTTTGAAGAAACTGTAGGATACTTTGGAGCGAAGCCAAAATCTGGTGAGAAGGATATCAGCCCCAATTCCTTCTTCGTGGTGTGGTATGAATTCTGCAGCGACTTCAAGGGCACGTGGAAACGAGAAAGCAAAGCCCTCTCCATAGAAAGGTACGTTTCCAATCAAGGCCTTTCCTTGCATTACACAGCATCTGGTCCGCCCAAATTACACTCACTCATTCTGCAGGCGCCTTTGTTTTCTTTTTGGATCAAATGGACAT